CGCGCTGACCTCAGCTGCTGTTGCGACTCCACCGAAAGACCTGATTGGTGGAGGCGGAGAGAGAATCGGAGGAAGATGTTAGGAGGGGGGGATGGGCGAGAGAAGACCTGATTGGTGGAGGGCGGATTACACGGAAGGAGGATCCAAGGATAGGTAAGAAGTTGGGAAAGGGGGGCTCTAGAAAGTGCAGAGCAATCAACTCGAGCTCACTTCACCATGGGATCAGCACCCTGCAGTGGTGAGCAGCAAGTCGCCTGACTCTGCATGTTCTGACGTAGTGAAGCTGCTTTTGAGTGTTAGCGATAGCAGCCACAGGCCATGAGTACCCTCACCTTCACCATGCCATCAGCCTCTACCACCAACCCTTTCCACACCACAAACACAACACGCCAAGAAGTCCCCTCACTGTACGCCATGAGTGCTCCCCTCACCTTCACCATGCCGTCAGCCCCCGCTGTGGTAAGCAGCAGGTCATGCGACTCTGCATGCTCTGCCAGCGCCACTGCCACCACCGGGCCGCGATGCGCCTTCACCCTCCTCACACACACCACCTACACACCAAGAGCGCCCCTCACCTTCACCATGCCATCATCCCCCCTTCACAGTCTCACTCACAACCACCATGCCATCATCGCCTCCTCACCTTCACCATGCCATCAGCGCCTGCAGAGGTGAGCAGCAAGTCGTGCGATTCTGCATGCTCTGCAGTACTGGAGCTGCTCTTAAGAATCATCATACCAACAACAGGCCTATCACCTCCCCCTGACCTTCACCATGCCATCAACGCCTGCAGTGGTGAGCAACAGGTCGCGTGACTCTGCATGCTCTGCCAGCGTCACTGCCACCACCGGGCCGCGATGTAACTTACACACACCTCACACCACCTACACAACAAGAGCGCCCCTCACCTTCACCATGCCATCAGCGCCCGCAGTGGTGAGCAGCAACTCGTGTGACTCTGCATGCTCTGCCAGCGCTACCGCAACCACCGGCCCCCGATGTGCCTTCACTCGCCGCACTTTCGCCCTCCTCCTCCCGCTGCCACTGCCGCTGATAAAGCTGCTCATCTCACCGTTGCTGCTCGCCCCGCTGCTGCCTATACCACCATCTGCTCCGCTCGCCTTGCCGTTCACTCTGCTGCTTCCCCTGCTGCCCCCGTGGCTGCTGCCCTTGCCACTCCCTTCGCTCTTCCCCGTGCTACTACCACCGGAGCAAGAATCCACTGCAGGTGACGGCTGGAAGGCAGGGAAGGGCGCAGTGGGGGAGAAGGGGGGCGAGCAGGCAGGCGGCTCTTCCCCCCCACGCCCCACACCAGCCTCGTCCAGCCATTCCCTCAGTGCCGCCATCTCCTTTTCCTCTCTCACCGCTGCTGCTCTTGCCACCACTGGTGTGGACCTCACCCATCCAATGGTGTCCACAGCACTAACCGCACTCACAGCACTCACTGCACGGAGTGCGGCACCTGCGGCACTCAAAGCACCCCTGCGCTGCGCTGCTCGCCTGGCGTTGAAGCTTCCCAGCCCCACCGCTCCCTGCAGCGCCTTCAGCCTCCCCATCTCGTCTTCCTCTGCCATTCCGCCACTAATTGTCATGCCACCTACATCGCTGCTTCCGCCCTCAGCCTCTCCAGCTGTGCTGTCTGACGTGGCGCTGACCTGGCGCATTGCACTGGTAATCTCAGCCGTTGGTGCTGGTGGTGCTGGCTCTAGTGATGCTGCTTCTCCCAGTGCGGTTTGTTCTGTTGTTGCTGCTGCTCTTGCTGTTGCGGCTGTTTCAGCTAATTCTAAGCTCGCAAGAGTCGCATCTGCTGCCCCTGGACCTGCTCTTGGCATAGCAACATCAGATGCTGCTGCTGATACTGCTGGTGCTGATGCCCCTCTCCTGCTGCCACATCACTGGCTGATGCTGCTGCTGCTGATACTGCTGGTGCTGCTGCTTTATCCGCAGACCATCCCGTATCAGTGGCAGAAGCAGCATCACTGAGAGCATCAGCAGCAAGAGCTGCATCAGGCCCACTGCTGACCAGAGCAGCACCAGTGCTGGTAGGAGCACCAGAAGCACGAGAAGACAGATGGCTAGCACTTGCATCACGAGTGTTGCTAGAGACATCAGCAGCAGCCGCAGCAGGCATAGAAGCTGCAGCGGCAGTTGAGGGGACAGCAGCAGCAGCGGAGGACAGGAGGGGTAGGAGGCGCATGAGGAGGTGGACAGAGGTGGACGGCTCACAGGAGGGCAGTGACTCAACGCTGGGTGTGGGGCGTGGGGAGCGCTGCGGGTGGGGATGGACGAACTGCTGCCTTGGCGTTTGACCAAACACGTTGATCTGACAAGGGCATTCGGGGAAAAGAAGAATAGGAGGGAGTATGGAGGGGAAGGCGGAGGAGAAAGAGGGAACATGGCTGAGTAAGTTCAGCAGGGATTGCAGAAAAAATGGCATATGGTATGAAGTGGCACCTGTATCAGCTAATCTATGTTAAATGAGACGAGTTTCCAATCGACTTAACTTGTATCGACCTATTTACAAGGTGCCCCAAAACAGGATCGTTTCACTCAACATCAGAGTTGCTTTCCCACAGCACACCTAAATCTCGAAGCCTCTCCTCTCCACGAAGCTGCTGAGGGAGTCGAGGTCCACTGCGCCCTCATAAGTGAGGGGATGAAACAGGTTGTCTGACTCCTCTGCTGCCTGGCATTTAGCGAGGGAGGGATTGGAGTGAGAGAGAGTGAGGATGCAAAACTACTGAGCACACCAAACAAGCTGCTGAGCGAGTCCAAATTCACTGCGCCTTCATAGGTGAAGGGATGGAACAGGTTGTCAGCTTCCTCTGCTGCCTGGTGGGTTAGTGGGGGACGGAGTGAATGAGAGAGTGATGGAGTGGGAGAGCATAGTGAAACAGTTGATTACCACAAGCTACCAAGTGAGAGAGCATAGTGAAACAGCTGATTACCACAAGCTGCCAAGTGAGTCGAGGTCAATTTTGAGTCGACTCTTAAGTCACCTCGTGAGGGAGCAGAGTGAAACAGTTGATTACCTCAAGCTGCTAAGTGAGTCGAGGTCCGCTGCGGCCTCATACGAGAGGAGATGAAACAGAAGACGCTCACCTTTCTAAGGGGATGCGAGTGAGAGGATAGCAGAGATAGCCACAGCAAATAAAGCAAGGCATGGCATATGATCTGATGACCGGGCTACTTTTGAGGTGCCTCAAAACTAATGCAAGGGCACAAAATATGATCTGATGACCGGGCTATGGGGGAGTCAAGAGAGAGCAGTAGCAGCACCTTGCCTCGCTGCTTGTATCCGAAGATCAGGTCGATCCAATGGTGGAGATTCGCCGACACCCACTCGCTTTCCAGAGCCTGCACGAGCTTTACGATAAAATGTGGACACCATTGGGAGTCTGGTCGATTCTGAGTCAACTCCAGCGTCACTCAATCCCTCAATCTTCTTCCTCTTCCCGTCTCTCCTCTTCTCTCTCTTCCTGCTCTTCCTCCTATTCCCTTCCGCCTATCTCCTCCTCCCCACCCCCCCCCGGCAGTGAACAAGACCCTGCGTGATCCAGTGTATTTCAGAGTGGACACGTCAGGTCAGCCCCATCTGCGCACGGGCACCAAGTACAAGGCATACCCCACCTATGACTTTGCGTGCCCCTGTGTGGACAGCATAGAGGGCGTCACCCACGCTCTGCGCTCCAGTAAATACCACGACCGTAACGAGGAGTACTACCGCGTACTGGAGGTGTGTAGAGTGGTGGGGAGGGGTGGGAGGAGGTAATGAGCGGTGGGGAGGGGTGGGGTGGGAGGAGGTAATGAGCGGTGGGGAGGGGAGGGGTGGGAGGAGGTAATGAGCGGTGGGGAGTGGCAATGAGAAGCAAGGAGTGGCATTGATCCTGCATGTAGATTTCTACGTTTTATAATCGGTGTCCTTGTTATCCAGCATCTGGAAAGATCTCCATCATCTGAACTCTGGTCTTTCTAGCAAAGCTCGTTGGAACCCTTCCTCCTCCCACCCTTCTTTCCGCCTTCATCTCAATGGCATGGTCTTGGTCTTTGACATGTGAAGGGATGTTCTTTTTCAAAGCTCCATGCGTGCATACGCTGCCATACCAATGTGCTCTCCAGCCATCTCCACCTGCTTTCCGATTGCACGGCACCCCTCTTCCCTTAGGACACTCCTTGATCCATATTACTTCCTCTTGTGCAATGCACCAATGCCAGGACATGGGACTGCGGCGGGTGGAGGTGTGGGACTTCTCGCGACTCAACTTCATCTACACGCTGCTGTCCAAGCGCAAGCTCGCGTGGTTCGTGGACAACGGACGTGTCACCGGCTGGGACGACCCGCGCTTCCCCACCGTGCAGGGCATGCTCTGACGCGGGCTTACCATGCCTGCACTGAAACAGTTCATTCTCTCATAGGTATCAATGTAGTGGGCTTAGAGTGGGCAGGGCAACGAGGCAAGATGGACTGGTGGTTGGGACCATGCTTCCCCATCGTTCAGGGCATTCAGTGGGCTTGGGTTGGACCTAAGCCAGGGTGTACATGTGCTGTGCGATCCTTCCCTCCCACCGTGCAGCATGTGCTGCAACCAACCCCATGTGGCAACAAATTTGGATGAGTCCTGCAGTTTAATATGTGTGCAGTTACATTTTTTTTTTCCAAGTGTGCAGGTCGTTCATACCTCTCCTTCCTTCACTTCCATTCCTTCGCCGCCTCTCCCCACCAAGCTGCTTTCTTTGCTTATGTACCTCACTATTCCAGTATTTTTGACTAGCTTCGACTGTTGTTCTTCACTCTTCTCCTCATCCCCATTCTCGCTCCTTGACCTCCTTTTCCTCCTCACCAGGGAGCGTCTAACAACCTGACTCTTATTGAGATGGACAATTTATGGACGATCGGTGATGGAATTATAGGTCCTTTTTGTTCCTTCACTCACTCCCTCACTGTTTCTCCTCCTCCCTCACCCTCCCAGGGCGCATCAAATAACCTGAACCTAATGGAGATGGACAAGCTGTGGTCGATCAACAAGAAGCTCATCGACCCCGTGTGCCCGCGCCACACCGCCATCCTGCTCGCCGCGCGCGTGCCGCTCACCCTCACCAACGGGCCCGATGCCCCCTCCGTGCGCGTGCTGCCGCGGCACAGGAAGCACCCCCCCGCGGGCATGAAGGCGACTGTTGTCTCCCGGTGCGTGTGGCTGGAGGGAGCTGACGCGTGCGTGATTAAAGAGGGGGAGGAGGTGACTCTGATGAACTGGGGGAATGCGATTGTGCAGAAGAAGACCATCCGGACGGGGAGTGAAGGGGACGGGGGAGGGAAGGAGGGAGGAGGGAAGGAGGGGGGAGGGGAGGGCGAGGGGGAGGTGGAGGCGATAAAGGGGGTGCTGCATCTGGCGGGGTCGGTGAAGACGACCAAGCTGAAGCTGACGTGGCTGGCAGACAGCGATGAGCTCGTGCCTCTTACTCTCGTGGAGCTGGACTACCTCATCACCAAGAAGAAGGTATGTTGGTGTGGTGCTACTGTGATTAGGGAGTAGTGAGGTGTTGTGGTGGTTACAGGGAAGGTGTGGCAGACAGTCATGAGCTCGTGCCTCTACTCTCGTGGAGCTGGACTACCTCATCACCAAGAAGAAGGTGGGTTGGTGTTGCGGTGATTACAGGTAAGGTGCGGAGATGAGGAAACAGGAAGCTCGTGCATCTCACCCTCGTGGAGCTGGAGGCAACTCATAAAGAAGGTGCGCCCTTTATGCCCGATGGTTACAAAGAAGGTGCGGTGGTGCAATGAGAAATGCCCTCTCCTCCCTCTCTCCCCCACCACCCTTACCCTCGTGGAGCTGGACTACCTCATCACCAAGAAGAAGGTAAGCCCTGCTGCGTGGCAGTTACAAAGGAGGTGCAGGTGGTACGGTGACGACTCCCCTCCACCACCACCTCTCTCGTGGAGCTTGTCCACCTCGCCACCAAGAACAAGGTGTGGCTGTGGGATTGGCACGCGAAGAAGGTGGCATGTGCAGCAATTGCTTCACCCTTCTCCCTCTCTCCCTCTCCTCCCTCACCTCCCTCCCCCGCCCTCCCCCCCACCTCTCCCCCCTCCCCCACCACTCCCGCTGAACAAGAGAGAGGACTATCTGGAAGCACTCAACCCACCTTCCCCTCGCTTCCCTCCCTCCTCTCTCTCGTCACTCGCTTCACCTTCCCCATCCCCCTCCCTCCCTCAAAACCCCAGTTGGACGAGGGCGATGACTTCATGGTAGCCCTTAACACGCGCACGCAGTAGGGGGAGGGAGCAGTGGTTGCCGCCAACATGAAAACTGTATGCTGTTGGCTTCAACCCTCCCTCTCTGCCGCTTACTGCTTACTTCCCCCATCCCTTTCAACCATCTCTCTCTGCCCTTTACTCCTCCCATCCACTTCCCCCCCTCAAACCCCCAGCTGGATGAGGACGATGACTTCCTGGCAGCACTCAACCCGCGCACGCGCTGGGAGGAGGAAATAGTGGGTGACAGCAACATGTGGGCCGTATTTTGTTGGCTTTAACCCTCCCTTTCTGCCGCTTACCGCTTACTCCCCCCATCACCACCACCCAGCTGGACGAGGGCGATGACTTTCTGGCGGCTCTCAACCCGCGCACGCGCTGGGAGGAGGCAGCAGTGGGAGACGCCAACATGCGCAACCTGCAGCAGGGGGACATCATACAGCTGGAGCGCAAGGGCTACTACATCTGTGACCAGCCTCTTGTGCGGCCGCACAAGCCCATTATGCTCATTGCCATTCCTGATGGCCGGCAGCTTCCCCCTCCTGGTGGTGCTGCTGCTGCTGCCAAGTAGGGATGGATGTTGCTGGAAGAGGGGAGGGAATATTCTGGAACAGGGGCGGGAGCGGGGAGGATATTGTGTCGGATGCAAGGTGGAGCGCAAGGGTTGCCTTCAGTTATCTGTGACTAGCCCATTGTGCGACCCCACAAGTCCATTGTTCCTCATTGGCCCCGGAACATAAAACATTTTGAAAGCTGTACTTTGTAAGTCGTCTTGCTGATCCGCATTGAAATGACCGTTCTTCTATTGGTGTGTCGAGTCAATCTGTCGCACAGCACGTGTCCCGCACCCCCACCGCCCGCGCGATTCCAATAATGCACGCGTGTGTGGAGGGATGAGATGAGCCAACCTGAGCCGTGCGATTGCAATAAATCACTTGCGTGAGATGACGAAAAAACTTTTCTTCATTTGCATAGAAAGCATCAATATTTTATCTATGCTGCTGTGCGATCCAATCCTCTTGCTTCTCACGGTCGTTCACCAGCCAGAGCGACACTGCCGACGACTTAAGTCTGTCGCCGTTTCCGTCCTGTGCGGGCATTCAGATGTACCACGTTACAGGATTGCGATTTGAAGCTAAATTCTCTTTTCAACTCGCAACCTAGTATAGCGCTGAATTATCGCCACTTTCCTAGCGCCGTACTGGAGTTTCAGCCTCGGGCAATTGAGAAGCGCCGGAAGTGCTCGCGGAAGTGCTCACTGATCGCGCAGATTTTCCACGCCCCTCAGCCTCGGGCGATAGGCGAGCATCCGAGCTTTGTCTATAACCCTCTCGGCAGAGCAGCCATGGAAGCATTTCCCCTGCCGCTTCTGTCACGTCATTTCCTCGTACTGTGTAATAGCAACGCCAGCAGCTATTCCACTTCTGTATCTCAACCTATTCCACAAGTTGTAGCACCTACCTTTAGCACCGAGTTGTACCGTTGCACGCCTTGAACTATCAATCAGAGCCATCTTCCCGTTAGCGTTACCACCATCCTCCCTGACAGAGCCACATTCCGCTACTGCGTGACTCACCTGACGTGATAGCGGCGCGCTGCACAAGACTTACGCTTCCACCTGACGTGTTGGCAGCTTGACCGCCATGGCCTCCTCTCCTTCCGCGCTTCTTCCGCTCCTAGTCCTGGCGATCATCTGCGGTGAGTTCTGATATAACTCCCCTAGAACTACAGGGTCAAAGGGAGGGGATCTTTACAGGCGCAGCGGATGCCGTTCGACCCTTCGAGTGGACTCGCAGTCGTGTCTACCTCGGAGAAGCTCGCACATTTGAATTGACTCACAGATCACAAATTACCTCGACTACCTCTGTAACACCTCGCTACCCACTGGGTCAAAACGAGGGTTATATGTGAGGCGCAGCGGATGCACTCAACCCTTACCTGTAAGCTAGGCGTTACAACCTCTGAGAAGCACGCACATCTTTTAAATTGGCTTAAAAGTCAGAACTCACCTCGACCATCTGAGAAGCCCGCACAATCTGACCCTTACCTCGCACCCCCTGCTACCTCTCGCTCCTCTGCTCCTCACGCCCCTGTGCTCCGTCTCTCCCCTCTCCGCTCGCTCTCACCCATCTGCTTCGTCTCTCCCCTCTCCGCTCGCTCTCACCCCTCTGTGTTAGAGATTGAGGACCGAGTCTATGAAGATTAGGTGCCCAAATATCACAAAATCGTTGGTCTTCAATTGTGGACAGAAACCGCGTGTTCACAAGAAACGTCGTCGACGAAAAACTAACTGTTAGAATTCCGTCAAACTCGTTCAATATGTTGTAGCTCTAGACCGTGGCTACAATTCCCAATTTGATTCACCTCAAAAAAATGGTGGAGTAAATCTCGAGTTATGATTTTCGGCGCACTAGGGGGTAAGCTGCCACAAGTTTAACTCAATCACAATAGTTTTCACAAGTTCCAAGTTGCGCACACAAGAGTTAGAGTGGCACTAAACCAGGTAGGAGGGACGACGAGGAGGAGAAGGAAGGTCCCAAGGAGTCCCCAACCAAAGGAAACCCCATGCCACACAATTCCCCTCTCCATAGGCAACCCCACTTTCACATTTGTCACTTTCCCAACTCATGCCATCCACCTCAACCCACTTGGCCACACTTGCCAACCTGGTTTGGCTTCTCCCAACCACATGGCAGCAATCTACAGTGATGGATTCAAATTCCCAACCCCAAAAGTCTATACCCCTTATGGAGTCACTCCACAAATTCCCATAGTCGCCGCATCCCAATCAAAACTTCGAACGATCATAACTTTCTCGTTCTTGCTCCGATCGCGACGATTCTTGGTTCGTCGGAAAGCTCTCGAGCAGAGCAATCACTTCAGATATCTGCTCAAGCCAAATAACATTCACACACACTCAGAAAATCCAAACCGCGCATATCACAAATTCTTGCACACGCTCACACCACGCATGCAATGCACCAATATTTGATGGGAGGCAGACAGACGTGAATGCGAATGATAGCATCACACAACACTCTGCTCTGTCTCTCCCCTCTCCGCTCGCTCTCACCCCTCTGCTCTGTCTCTCCCCTCTCCTCCATCTCCCTCCAGCAGCCGCCATGGCTCACATGCCGGCAGGGGAGCTCGCGGATCGCCATAAGGGGAGCGTGCGAGTGCGCGGCGGCACAAGTGAGGCTGCGACTGCCAGAAGCCTCAAAAGCGAAACCACTGGGAGAAGCGAGAATGAGCGCATGCAGTTGGGGGTGGGGGTGGGGGTGGGGGTGGGGAGTGGGAGTGCGGGCGGGGGCGGTGCAGTGGATGCAAGTGTCCACGTGGCAACGCAGATCACGGTGCCGGGCGTGACCCTCCCCGTCAGCTTCGACGCCCTCCGCTGCTTCAGCCTTCCCTGGGCGGCGCGCAAGGCGGCGGGTGACGTGCAGGTGTGGGTGCACGGGCTCACGGGCGGCAGCACTGGCGGCGGCAGAGGCGGCGGTGGTTTGGGTGGGAAGAAGGGTGGGGATGCGCCGTGCAAGCAGGTGCGGTTCTTTGCCTACCCGGCCTGCAAGGGCAAGGCGTTGGCTGAGGTGCTGCAGCCACAGTTTGCCACTCTGCGCCGATTCTTCCATGTGCCCAGGTGGGTGGGTCATCATGGGTCATTACCAGTATTGATAGGTGGGTGATGGGTGCAGGGCATGTGTCCATCGTCGTGAGTCACAGTCTTGACCCATAGTCGTGCCTCGGGTTGTGCCGCCCTAACGTAATGTCTGAGTGTGTTCCTGACGTCCCTGCGTGCAGCTCAAAGAAGATTCCCCGATGGACTTCCGTCTCGTGCAAGTGTGGTGCGTGCCTTGCCTCCTCTCCTTGCCTCCTTGCCTCCTTGCCTCCTTGCCTCCTTGCCTCCCTGCCTCCCTGCCTACATGCCTCCTTGCCTCCTTGCCTCCTTGCCTCCTTGCCTCCTTGCCTCCTTGTCTCCTTGCCTCCCTGCCTCCCTGCCTCCTTGTCTCCTTGCCTCCCTGCCTCCCTGCCTCCCTGCCTCCCTGCCTCCCTGCCTACATGCCTCCTTGCCTCCTTGCCTCCTTGCCTCCCTGCCTCCCTACCTCCCTGCCTACATGCCTCCTTGCCTCCTTGCCTCCTTGCCTCCCTGCCTCCCTGCCTACAGGCCACCTTGCCTCTTTGCCTCCCTGCCTCCCTGCCTCCCTGCCTCCCTGCCTCCTTGCCTCCTTGCCTCCTTGCCTCCTTGCCTCCTTGCCACGGTGCGGCATGCATTCCATTCCTTCG